ATACACACATATACATATATATGTGTGTATATATAAAATTTTAGGTTTAGAAGAGTTGGAAAAATAGTATAAGGAGCTTCCCATCATGTTGTTAACGTACATAACTGCAGTACAAGATCAGCCCTAGAGCCCCACACGTTATACCTCAGCCCTACCTGAACCCTTCTGTGGAGGGTTCGTCAGGTCTTTTGTAGAGTCCTGCCGAGTAAGCACGCTGGGGCTTGGAATGATGCACATTTTGGGCAAGAATGCTGCCGGAGTGGTGGGATCCTGTTCCCGCATCAGGTTAGGAGCACATATGTCATCGTATCTTATTGTTATTGAGTTACCCTGGCCCCTTGTTCAGGTGTGGGCTGTCAGCCTTTTCCACTCAGGGCTGTCTCTGTTGTAATCAGCACAGATGCTAGCGGAGAGGACTTGAGACTGGGATATCCTAGGTCCCCTCGGTCTCCCACCCACTGATTCTAACTTACACTGGTATATCTTGCTCACTGTGGTGTGGTTATGTTGTCCTGAAGTGAAGGTAGTTGGGATTTTAGAGCCGCAATGAGCTAAGGGAGCTATTGGAAGGAGATTCCAAGAGCACCTTTATAACCCAGCTTGCTTTGAACCATCCGCTCCCGAATAATGACACTGAGACTTCTTATTAATTATGAAAGCTTGGCCTTATCTTAGACTTGTCCCCGCCTACCTCTTAAAACTTAAATTAACCTGTTTATATGAATCTACATTCTGCCACATGGCTTACTACCCTCTCAATACCGTATGCCCTCGTTCCTCCGAGTCTTGGTGGCAAATCTCCTTCCTCAGATTCTTTCCCTGAGTTCCTCTCTCTCTCTGGAAGTCCTGCCTATCCTTTCCTGCCTAGCTGTTGGCCATTCAGCTCTTTATTAAACCAATCAGAAGGTCCCCTAGGCAGGTGAGGAAGAACAGTGATGCATCTTCACACAATATACAAAAAGATTATCCCAACACACCTCCTTCAGCCCGTAGCTCTCACTTCTTGCCAGATAACTAAGACCTACTTAGTCTCTCCTCTTCCGGAAATGGAGATCCTCCACCTTCACCCTTAACAGGGCAGAAGACACGGCTTCTGTTGCCTGTGAACACTCAGGGCCAGAGATGACGAGATGCCCTGCCCGTGTGCCAGTGCCACACTGTTGACTGATCTACCTTGTGAACTAGTGGAGAGCTATTTCTGGACAGGGGACATCTGGTGATTTTTCTTTTGACCATAGGAAGGAAAACGATCTCCATTTATTAGTCGGAAGTGCCCTCCCCTTGTCATTTACAAACTCATGTTCCCAAGTGTGACTCGAGCCAGAAGGTACATTCAGTGCTTGACTGCATTTTATTGGTGACTTTATTGGCTCAGAGTTTATAATAACTTGTCTTCTTGGCAGAAGCTAATAGATGTTTTCTATTCCATCGGAGCTAAGAATAACGAAGGAAAAAAATGAGGACAGAGAAGGGCAGAGGCAAGAGTAGACAGAACAGAAAGGAGCATCCGTTTCTTGGCCAAGATTTACTGTGTGAATTGTTTCTGACTGGCCTGGAAAGGACTACCAAGCTGTGGCAGCCATCGAAAACACCAGCTGTGGTTGGGTTGGCAGACCCAAAGCCATTGGCGGTCTGAGGCTCATTCAGGGAAAAGCAGCCTTGTGGTTGATAGGTCCTTAATCCTTGGCTTCTCCAGGCCTGGGAGTGGGCAGTGGCTCTTGCTCCTCTCGTAGAGTCTGGCTGTAGGAGGTCAGTTAGCCATATTAATAATGTAGGGACTGGGGAAAGACAGAATACAGATCTATTCCAAGTACACACTCTCTGGCTGTTCTTGCCAGCAGTACCCACTGTCTTCCAGATCAGGAGGGGCACTCCTGAGCCTCCATGCAGAGCCCTCTGCTCAGCCAGGCTTTTCGGACCTTACCATTGCCCTCTACACCCAGGGCTTCGAAATGCAGCTGAGTCCTGAACCTGGATTACCTCCCTTGCCCTTAATCGACTTTCAAGCTTGCTCTCCATTCTTGGGGAAGGCAGGAGCCCTGGTATTCCCAAGGGGAACAGTAGATGGCTGGTCAGATGGAGCCCCTGCCATGTTTTGTGGTACATTCGTACAGTACATGAAAAGCTGCCACCTAAGAAGTCATTAACTGGAATTATCGGTGGTCCTGATAAGTCATGCAGAAGCAGAATTCTACACATGCCTGGAATGTCCCTCGTGCATGACAGAAGGTGTTCACCCGTAATCACTGGCATACTGGCTGTCACCGAGCCACCAAGCCCTTTTGCTTCTGAGGTCTCACTAGCAGATTCCCACGGTGACTGGTTGGGTTCTCTGGGAGTAGAGATCTCTAGGGCACTGGAAGCTGTCCGGAGTGCTACCTCGAGGTGGGTAGGGCAGCCATGGAGTGGAGGTTGTTTCCTCGTGTGGAAGGTGAGCTGAGCCCTAACTTTCAGTTGGATGCTAAACTGATAAAAACTGATGGGGGCTCCTGGCAGGCGGAGGAGAGCAAAGGCTGTAGGAGAAAGGGCGAGAAGAACTAGACAGCTCTTTTGCTTAGCCCAGCCCTGAGGCCCAAGGACAGCCCCTGTGCCCCAAATATGAAGACACCTGGTGACGGAGGGCAGAGCTGTCTAGTTATCTTCTGGAAAGGCGGTTCCATCTGTCATTCACTCAGAAGACAGCATGTATCACAGCCTTCTTGGAAGGTCTGGGGTGGCGGTGGGGGGGGGTGGGCCTGGATGGGGGGTGGGGGCTGGGGGGGGTGGGGTAAGTACCACCGAGGCCTTTGAGTTTTCCTCCTTCCCTTTTCTAAATGTCGTCCAGTTAGTTAAATAAATTCCTGCTGCACCTCGGAACCCTGCCCTGCCCTTCAGTGTCTGTTAGGCACAGGCTTCTTTTATCTCTGGTTCTCGGGGAGCAAACCTGGTCCCTGGGCCTGGCCTAAGGGTTAGATGTGGCCCGTTCCCATGGGATATGGTGGTGTCCCATGGAATCTCAGGGTAACTTGTCTACTCTTCGGAGGGGAATGCTTCGCCGCAGAGCCACAGTGGTCTGGCTCAAACCATCCCTCTCACTAGAGGAGACCAACACACGCGTTCCTGGCTTTTGCCACAGCCTCAGAGATGAGGTCCAAACACACTGTGGCTGCCACCATCCCAGTGGGCAGGAGATGGCCCTGAAGGGCTCCACTCCTCGCAACAGGCCTTCTGTTGAGCATAGCCGTGTCGAGAGGCCCATATGGCAGAGGGGAAAAGCAGGTCCCAGGGAGACATGGGGGTCTTCTTTGATTTCAGCCCTGTAACTAACCCTGAGTAAAACAGCTGTGTGCGTGGAAAGGTTCTGGGAGAAGGTGGCTGCCCCTGCACACCTCCTCAGCCTCGCCAACCCCTCCGTGACTCTCGGGAAGAAAGGGAAGAGTATAGGATATCCTATCCAGGACAGGAGAGAGCTGCCCCAGGAAGCACAAGGGCAAGACCAGCGCACAGGAGGGGCCAAACTCACTATTAAACCAAGACCACCCCCGCCACGTTTTTATTTATTTGTTTTCGTTTTGTGAATATGAGTGTTTTCTCTGTATCACGTGCCCGCCTGATACGTCAGAAGCTAGATGAGGGCTTCGGATCCCTTGGCAGTGGGCTTACAGAAGGTTCTGAGCCACGATGTATGTGCTGGGAACCGAACCTAGATTTTCTGCAAGAGTAGCAAGTGCCGTTAACCTCTAGGCCACCAAGGCAGCCCCGTGGCCGTTCTTGAGGTGACTGACCCCCTTCTATGGTAAGAGCAACTTGTCCATTCATTGGGCCTCACCTTTCAACACTGTTGGTTTAGGGATTAAGTTCCCAGCAGAGGAACTTTTAGGGAGCACAGTCTACCATACTGACCATTAAATCTATTAGTCCTGTTTGTAATTTCTGAGAGATTTTTATCTTCATATTTTTTAGTAGTTGCCAGCTCTTCTTAATAGATTTTTTTGAACTTTACTAGGTACCCAATTATTTTTTAAAATTCTTTATTCATTTTACATATTAACCACAGTTCCCCCTCCCTTCCCTCCTCCTGCCCACTCCCTCCCATCCTCACCTCCATCCACCCCCTCAGAGAGGGTAAGGCCTCCCATAGGGCATATCGAGTCTAGGCAGGACCAAGTCTCTCCCCCCCTGCATCAAGGCTGAGCAAGGCATCCACCATAGGGAATGGGCTCCAAAAAGCCAGCTCATGCTCCAGAGATAAATTCTGGTCCCACTGCTGAGGGTCCCACAAACAGACCAAGCCACACAACTGTCACTCACATGCAGGGGTCCCATATAGGTCCCCAAACTGTCAGTCCAGAGTCCACGAGCTCCCACTAGCTCGGATCAGCTGTCTCCGTGGGTGCCCAGTTCTTTTAAAGGTCTCTGTCATCTCCCATCAGGTCTACGTCTCTCTCTTTTCTCTCTGTTTCTCACATGTCTGTTGTGCTAGGGACTGTCCTTGACTGTGTGGTGGTCCCTGCCATCCCTTCCACTTTGGAAGGAAGACACTAGGAAGCCTCTGGTGAGGTAGGCTCAGGAGGCTTCCTGGTTGTAGGGCGCTCCTTCGGGGCCATCTCCCTGGCTCCCTGCTCTCCGCGCGCACTTGTCTTTTCTGGTCCATTTTGCTGGGGAGCGTTCTCTCATAGGCTCTCATGGCTTCCTCAGTCTTACTGGTCCCTTTGCCCCTGATGTCTCAGTGCCACCGCTCCTGGGCACCGCTCCTGGTTTGTTCTCTCTGTTCTGCTGACGCGGGATGGGGTTCTGAGGCTGGGAAGAGCCCCAGCGGGGTCCAGCTGCTTCCTACAGAGACTGTCTGTGGAGTCCACGGTCTGTCGGGCAGTCTCCTGGGCCTGCAGTTCCCAAGCCTTAGCGGCTCTACATGAGGACGAGACTGTTTCCAGGCCTCTTCACCCACCTCAGTTCCTTTGTCTGGAGACACTCGGTTCTCCTTCCCAGGTCGCTCCTTCCTTCTGTCTTCATCCTTCTGCTTTGCTGCTTCTCCACAGACTCCACCTCGGGGAAGAGTTTTTAACTATTCAAATGGAAGTCCTGGGGGTTACATTTCTCGTGTGCGTGCCTGGAAGGCTTCCTCACATGACCGCTCACCTTCGCTTTCCCCTCTGTCTGTCGTGGAGGCTGACGTGGGCAAGAAGGTTCCCCCTGGGGAGCTCAGTGAGTCTCTACAGAGTGGGAAAGGAACCAGGGTCAGAATCCGGGGAAGCAGCTGGGTGTGGCTGTCTTCCAGTGGGTCGGGAGTGAGATTTTGTAAGCGTCCAGAACGAAGCTGGCAGCCAGGTCCTCTGGGAGCCGGAAACTGGAGAGTCCGTTGCCCAGGATAAAACAGATACCCACCTGAGCAGCCTGCGCTTATTCCATCGATGCCAACTTTGCCTTTCAGACTTGGGCCTGTCCCCACACCTCACGGCTCTCATGGCAGGCGGACAGTCCCTGGGGCACAGCAGCAGCACCGGTGACACTGGCTTCAGCTACTCCCAGGATTCAGGTACCATTCTTACCCTGGAAACCCCCCACTCGGTGTTAATTTGCTCTGTCAATTACTGCCTGCAGGCTCGCCCTTGCCCAAAGGGTGCCAGCTGCGCCTCTGTTCTCGCTTCTACTGAATGGGTCTCTCCCGTTCCTTCTCTCCCTACCCTGTGGTGTGATGGTGAGGTTAAAAATACAGGAGTGCCTTCGGAAAGTTAAAATTTAAACAAGCCATGGTGGTGCACGCCTTCAATCCCAGCACTCAGGAGGCAGAGGCAGGCAGATCTTTGTGAGTTCGAGGCCAGCCTGGTCTACAGGGTGAGTTCCAGGGCAAGAAGAGCTGTTACACAGAGAAACCCTGTCTTGAAAAACCATCATTTAAAAAAAAAAAAAGTAAAATTTGAAGAATCTTTGATTCTTTGCTTTGACACTACCTTACGTGACTGGCCAGACCCTGGAGGCTATCCCCCCAGGCTCTTGACCGTCTTCCTCTCCCTGCACGTTTGTTGAGTGGCCCTGGCTGGGAACAATATGGTCAGAGGCTGGAAGCGTCTCTTCATCCACTTAGTTCACAGATTTCTGTTGGAGAACTGACAACTTGGCCGCATCGGAGGCTGGTGCTCGTCAATGCTCTGGGCCACAGAGGGAGAGGTTTTGAGTCCCCACAGAAGGAGCAACTCCAAGCTCTTCTCTCTCTGCACCCCTGGGAGCTTTTGTCTTTTTGGTTGTAAACCTCAAGAGCTGAGCCCTCTCCTCAGCCTCCACTGGGAGCTTTTGAAAAAAGCTTGGGCTGTGGAGAGATAGCTGTTTGTGCAGTCAGAACCAGGTAGGCTCAGGGAGTGAATGACTTCTGCCAGAGGGTGGGGAGACAGCCTGGGGAGTAAGAGAGAGACTTCCTTCCTCCCTCCCTCCCTCCCTCCCTCCCTCCCTCCCTCCCTCCTCCCTCCCTCCCTCCCTCCCTCCCTCCCTCCCTCCCTCCCTCCCTCTTTCCTTCCTGCCTTCCTTCCTTCCTTGACAGTAGGTTAGATTTACCTGGTCAGCTGGTGGTGTGGCAGCCCCGTCACTGTCTGTAAACTCCTGGGATGGATGACATCTGCTTCGGGACAGTCATCTGAACCTGCCTGTGGGACTGAAGGCTGGCAGCCAGGGTCACGAGGCACTGGGCTGTGGGAGGACGAGGCCTTGGTGTCTGGAACTACTTGTGCATGATCTGCCCTTCGCCGTAGGGACGGATGTGATGTTGCTGGAAGACCATGCGTCTGACGACAACCCTGCCCCCCACTGCACCTGCCCACCCAAGAGAAGGAGCTCCGTGACATTTGAGGACGAAGTAGAACAGATCAAAGGTTGGTTTGTGGGGCTGCTTCAGTAAAACACGTGGGCGAGGAGGGGATTTTAGCCACACCCTTCCCGCAGAATGTGCCAAGGCTTTGTCACCTCTGCCTCCTTCCTGATGACAACAACTATACTGGTGCCACTGAGTCTTGAATTCTGAGACATCTGACTCAGAGCGATCAGCATCTAAGGTGGGACAAATGCAGCTATAGACACATGCACATGCATGCACATACACACATACATACACACATGTGTACACACATACACACATGCACGAACACACACATACACACATGCACGAACACACACATACATGCACACATGCATGCACATACACACATACATACACTCACACTCACATATACATACACACATGCTCTCTTTCTCTTACACACACACACACACACACACACACACACACACACACACACACACACGGAGATATGAGGAGAGAGCAAGAGAGCTCCGGAGACTTTGGAAATATGATCAGGGAGTGGAGGCCAAGCTGCCATCCTGATGAGCAGACCTGAAGCCTGTGAGGACACAAGTCTGCTCACTGGGCTTTCCTGTGGTAATACCCAGCATGGGCATTCCTGCACTAGCACCCAGCATGGGCATTCCTGCACTAACACCCAGCATGGGCATTTCTGCTCTTACAACCCAGCATGGGCTTTTCTGCTCTAACGTCCAGCATGGGCTTTCCTGCTCTAACATCCAGCATGGGCATTCCTGCTCTTACAACCCAGCATGGGCATTCCTGCTCTAACGCCCAGCATGGGCTTTCCTGCTCTAACGCCCAGCATGGGCATTCCTGCACTAACACCCAGCATGGGCATTCCTGCTCTTACAACCCAGCATGGGCTTTCCTGCTCTAACATCCAGCATGGGCTTTCCTGCACTAACACCCAGGGGCATTCCTGCTCTAACGCCAAGCATGGGCTTTCCTGCTCTAACGCCCAGCATCCGTGCTGCTTTGGGTTGGGGTTAGTTTCCCACGCAGACATGCCAGGCAGACAGATGACAGAAGAGCCACTCAGGCTATTCGGGTGTAAGAATCTCACTGAGTGAGACTACTATTGGCATAACCGAGCCCAAGTCTGCTGAAGCCCAGAGTTTTAAGGTGTAAGTGCTGAGTATGAAAATAAATATGGACCCACTATTGGTCTCCTTGTACCCTGTCCCATTCCCATCCAAACTGAGGGGAGAGGTGGTGGACGGGAGAGGAGCTCAGAGGGGAATATACCAACCGAAGCATCTCCTCTGACCAAGTAGATTCACTCACAGAGCTAGCCAGAGCCTTGCCAGCTCTCATTACCTCTCTGCAGGTTTGAGTTTAACTGCTCCCCAGACCTCACACGGGAGCCAAGCCTTGCCCTCTGTGTCCTGGGGTGGGTAGGTCTCAAAGCGCCCTCTGCTGGTCTGGTGCTAGGAGGGAACGACACCTCCTCCTCTGCTGTGTAGGGAGCCAGACAGGGATGCTAAAGTCTGTTCACTTCCTTCCCTCCTGTAGAGTGTTCTCCAGAAAATGTAAAGGGAGGAGAGGGTCCCCCAAATACCCTGAGAGCCTAGGCAGTGAGGTCCGTGATAGTTTTGCTCTGGTTTAGGAATTAAAAGCCACCTCCATTCCTCTTTCTATTCAGTGCAGGTGTGTGTACGTGTGTGTGTGTGTGTGTATGTGTGTGTATGTGTGTGTGTATGTGTGTGTGTATGTGTGTGTGTACGTGTGTGTGTGTATGTGTGTGTATGTGTGTGTGTATGTGTGTGTGTGTATGTGTGTGTGTGTGTGTGTGTGTGTCTATGTGGGGGGGGGTGTCCCTAACCCCTCATAGGATGATAGAATTGTTGCTATCACTTCCAGACCCGAGGCTTTCCACCCTTAGGGCAGCTCCGAGTGAAATGGCGAGGAGGAGACGCGACATTTCTAAGTTCACAGCTACTTGCTAGGCTGTTCCAGGGAGGTGCGGGAAGAGAATTCTTTTGGAGACATAAAATAAAACGCTTTAGGAAGAATTCACTCATTCACTTGTCATAGTAACCATGTGAAGAAAGAGATTTCTTCTCTTTATAGATGAGGAAACTAAATCAGAAAATAACCCTGGCATTTCTCAGGGAGTAAATTGGGAAGTCCAGAATTTTACCCTGGGGAATCTGATGTCAGTATCCATACATGTTATCTCCACTCCTCTCCCTGGGGCAGTGAGCCAGCAGAGGCCATATTCCTGGGTTAGTCATGGGTCCTGGCTCCTGGGCTAACCCCCTTTCTGTCTTCTCCCACAGAGGCTGCCAAGAACTCTATTCTCCATGTGAAGGCTGAAGTCCACAAATCCTTGGACAGTTATGCAGCCAGCTTGGCTAAAGCCATTGAAGCCGAGGCCAAAATCAACTTATTTGGGGAGGAGGCTTTGCCAGGGGTCTTGTTCACAGCACGGACTGTCCCAGGGGCTAGCTTTGGGGGGCGTCGAGGCAGCAGGACTCTTTTGAATCAGAGGCTACAACTGCAGAGCATTGAGGAAGGGGACATCTTAGCTGCAGAACAGAGATGAAGGCCGCAGAGGGGGCTACTGGTACTGGTGCCTGTGCCAAGGCCCTGGAAGACGTCACCCCTCACAGAGGGCCAGACGCCGGGAAGGAAACATTGGGTGCGCAGCCAGGAGGACTGAAAACCCTTCCTCAGTGTCTGCTGTGAAGACACTTGTGGGCTGCATCAGGGATCAGGGTCCCTGGGCTGGAACGAGGCTTCCAAAGCACGTTGGAAAGAAACGGAGATGTGGCTGCAGTTTTGGGAGGACTGGAGGCGATGGGTTTAAAGGGAAGCCCCCATGTGGCTCTTGTCTTCACCAGTATCCTGCTGGTCTAACTGCTCATGGTCTCAGAGGTAGTCCCTACTCAGCGCGCCTCACGGCACACAAGACCATCTGCCGTTCTCTGTGGTTGATGCAGGCAGCATGGGGCCACATATACTAGACTAAATACAAACAGTCCAGAGAGACACCCAGGAGTAGAGCACCTTACACAGACACCCTAGATCTTCCACCCTAAATAGGATTTGGTCTTTGGCGGCACCTGCTGCTGGCCTGTAGGAGCAGCCCACAGACCACCCAAGATGGGGCCACCCCACCCACCTCTTTGTTGGCAGATGTTTTAGTATTTGAAAAGAAGGGAGAAACCACTATAAAAGGCAAGGGTGAGTACCAGGCATTTCATTTCCCAAATTAAAAACCCAGGCGATAGGGCACACCACTAACACCCGGGCTGTGATGTCACGTACAGCGGGGAAGAATCTGGGGGGAAAATTTCTCACACAGGAGATGTGGGAGATGCTTGACAACATGTTGGCCTCAATTCCCAGGAGCAATTGTGACTGTCACTGCATCTTTGGGGCGGGCACAAGGTAGAAGCCGGGGTTGAGTTCACAGCCTGGGTTCCTGGCCGAGCTTGGTCTTTGTCTGTATATCATCTGGAACATCCTGTCCTGCACTGGGCCATTTGCAGACATGGGAGAGGGGAGGAAGGAGCTGGAACAAGTAATCTCCAAGATAATTTCCAGCTCTGATCTTTGATGTCTTCTCAATTTGTAATTTAAGAGATGGGAACAAACTGAACATGACCAGTGGTTGAACCAGCATTTGTAGACTTTTGAGGTTGTCCGCAACGAACACACACAAAGCTACACGCACACTCTAGCCTTGTATCTTTGCACCGATTGGCTGTTTAGGGCAGTCCTAAATGCCGACTACTGAGACACGGGTCTGGAGAAGGTGCTGCAGCTGAGGCCACGGTGGGGGGAGGAGGAGGTGGGATTCCGTGGCTTGGATCCCCAACCCTTTCTCCTTGAGCTGGAACTTGAAGTTTGGGCTTTGAGCGCTTGCTGTGGTCATCGGGAAGACAGCCTTCTCTGCTTCTCTTAAGCCTGGGTGCTGAGATGAGCTAAGATCAGGGATCTATCTCCATTTCACAAAACAAAGGAAGAGAACCCAAGACCTTTCCATATCTGTCAACAGGCAAACACTCCAGAGTGAATTACTTTTCAAGTGTTTTCCGTGGGCTGCCTGGCTCATGGTGTGGCAGTATCTTTTTCCTATCGTTCCTGGTCTGCAGCCCCCGAAGACATTTCATGAGGCTTGGCGTTTGCCTTTGTGTGGATGATTTTGTCAACACTACCTACTCCAGGACAGCTGTGCAGGGGATTGGCAGGATCTGGGGTGGAGAGGCAGGGGGTAGAGGACAGGCATTGCTCTCGCTCCTGGCAGCATTTCTATTCTGTTCTCTTGTTCTAGTACTTGTCCGGTGTCTGGGGAGACCACATCCCTAATTAATCAGTATACATAGAAGCAGAAGATGGCAGAGGCCTTGCCCTCTAGGTATGGGTTGCCTGTTAGTGCAATAGATTGCCTTAAGACTCAAAGGGTGGAGAGCTCTTTCTTGATTGCCCTGGGCCAGGCTTTATGGGAAGGATGCTGAGGCCTCTGAGTCCTACTGGCTGACCCCCGATTCACTGGCATACAAGAAGAGATCATCCAAACCGACCTAGAAAACGGAAGTTTTACTATTTTTAAATGGAAACCCATGCCTTTTAATGGAGCGAGGCCTACCCATCTCCCCAACACTGCAGGCTGTAAAGCACCTCACCAAGCTTGGGGCAGTAACACCAGTGTTAACCACTTCAGAGAGGAGGGGCTGCTTCTGTGGATGCAGAGCATCAGGACGTCATGGCAGAACTGTGGCTCCAGAGGGTCTGAGTATTCCAACTAGGATCTTAGGGCTGGGCCAGTCGAGCAGGCGACCATTTCCATTGAGTCTAGGATGTGTAGGAGTCAGAGCTACGGTTTCGCATATTCAGGGTTTCTGGTTTGCCCAACTGAGCTAGAGAGAAGCGAGCTGGGGAGAGAGGGAGAGATGGTTCCACACATTCTCTTCCGTCCTCTGTGGAGAACACCTGCCTTTGTGTAGAAGTTCACCATCCCAACCAAACGCAGCCGTGTTAGCTGCAAACTTCTGTGCAGTGGCAGGCCTTTCCCAGGGGACTCATGGGCATGGGCAGGTGAGCTATTTGGCTACTTGTTTACTTAAATACCTCAGTCCTGATTCTGACAGGATCACTGTAGGGCCATGGCCCATCTCTGCCGCTGCTTTACGAAGATTTTCCCCTTGACTTGGTTCCTGTGCTGTGTTCCAGATGCCAGCTATGGGGCCTATTGCATCCGAGGAGGCGCTGTACACAGCTCAGCATCTGGTTTTTACCCTGGCCAGATACCCCAAACTGGAGTTCAAAATCTTAGACACTAGATGGCAGCAGCACGGCGGTGGCGAGCAAAAAATAAACCTGTCGCCTTGCTCCTCTGAGCCCTGCCTCCCCTGCAAATCCCTGACCTTGACAATAGATCCCCGCGTGTGACCCCTGTTGGAGCTCACAGGAACTTCCTGCACAGAGCTGTGTGATCTTAAACAAACCACTACTCCTGGACAGGCAGGGCGGAGGACGGTAAAGACAGTGGCCCATTGGTGCTAATGTTCTTAGAGTCTCATTTGTGTAACTGATTTCATCTCTCAGCCAAGAATAAAACCATCACCACCAAGACAACCTAGTATCTGCAATAAAGCCCTGTAGATTGGGTCTAGACAGGAGCAGGAAACGAATGCAGATACGGAGAGAGCATACAAGTCTGTTGAGCTAGAACTATTACGAGTGCTATTCCAAGAGGAATATGTGCTCCTTAGATGTGCAGATTAGAGAGACATTTCTCAGTGGACCCTAAGATGACCTCATGAAACATGTTCGGCCTCTTTTTGTCTGTTTCTGTGTCTGGAAGGAACAGTGATGATGCTGTGGCTGAACAGGAGGAGGCCAAGAACAGGCATGTGTGTGCCTCACTGAAGACACCTAAGAGCCTGTTTTATGCTAGGCACTAATTGAAAACCTCAAACGCTCCATCTTTTTTTTTTTTTTTTTTTGCTTCGGGCAGTTGGGACACAGTAGAGATGGTGCCAGTGTGGTGTGGCATGGCTATGAGTTAAGACCTCATGTTGCCACTTTCTTGCTAGGTGCTTGGGGCATATTACTCAATCAATATTCCAGCATCTGTAAAGTGAAGTTTTGCAACCTGTCTGTATAGAGGGACACAGACTCCAAGGATGCGTAAGGTGCTTGGCGGACTACAGAAAGGCTCCTAGTGTATCCCACAACAGCATGTAAGTGCAGGCAGACCTGAGCCACCGGTCTTGCTGTTTGGGGTAACTGATGGGGTAGAATCCTCCCTGTTTTACAGGGATCTTTAATACGTGAGAACCTTCAAAAGAGATGTTATCCAGTTCAGGATAATCACCTGTGCTGAGGGTTGCTGCCCTGGGGGGGATTACTTGCTATTTGTATAAAAGGACGTGATGAGGGTGAAGGAGTGATGGCGGAGGAAGGCTATGGTAGACAGGAGGCCGGAAAGGCTGGGTAGGAACAAAAATGAGCTTTTCTAGTTAAGCCTTCCTGCCACGTTAACGACCTGCTCACATGAAAAAGAAGTATTTCTTCAGTACCCCAAATTAAATATGATATATAGAATCTATGTCAATTCAACTTTGACCCTCCCTATACCCAGAAAGGCTTTCCTTCACCTCACCCCAATGCCTTCAGGTGCAGAGGACCAGTCAGTCCAGCAGTGACAGTGTCTGGCTCCCAGCTCCCAGAGCTCTTGTCTTCCAAGACTGATGAAAGAGGCAGAGGAGGTATGGGTGTCCATGCCACTCCCTGGAGTGTACAGAACCTGAGGAAGCCTGAGGACCACAAGAACATGGATGTGACCAGCCATAAATGACTACAAGGAGGGACAGGAGATACTGTTCTTGTGGGTTGGGGACAGAGGAGATGAGAATTCAGGAAGGCCATAGGAATGCTGTGTCTCAAAATGAGGTAAAGCAGAGGCACAGCCAAATCCCTAGGTCTTGGTCATGAGGCTGAGAAGGAACAAGCCTTTGTAGCCCAAGGAGAAGGAGGCACAGGTGGGTTAAAAATCATCCTTAGCAGAGTAGGTCAGCTGGCTTTCTTAGACAGGGAGGAAGAACCAAGGAGTTTCAGTGATGTAAAACATGGCCTTGAAGGCCCAAGGCCAGGTGATCCTCTGTTGAAAGACTTCAAAGCACATACACCAGTCTGCACAAGGTTACCACAAGCACAACTTTGGTCAGTGTAATTTTGGCACACAATCTACCACTGTTTGAAATGCCAGAGATCACAGATGAGCCAGCTCCTCCCAGAGGAAAGGACAGTTTCAGGGGACTTGGGTGACAAGACCATGCCAAGTGTGCCAGAAAGCCTTCGTGCCTGGAAATGGATGTCCATGGGATAGCCATGCTCAAGTAGAGTCCTGTGTGCTGTTCTGATGATGCATACCTGGAAGAAGTGGTTAAAAACCAAACTTCAGAAATATAAACCCAAGCTAACCCTGAAATACATTTAACTTGAAGTTTTGGATGATGTTCTTGAAGATAAAATTGTCTAGGGTTATTATATATAAATCAGTATTTATGGCTAAGTAAAAGTGTATTTAGACAAGTTTTGTTTACCTGATTAAATGTTTCTGGAATGTGTAAATTGTCAGTTTGCACTTGAATTTGTGGTCTATGGACATTTTTGGGTGCCTGTCCTTCCCCCACTCCCCACAGCCCTATTCCTATCTCAACTCTCCATGGGCTAAAAGGACTGAGCAGCAAGAGGGAACTTACTGCAGAATTAGGAGTGAGGATCCCCATATTAAAGTCACTTGGATAGATCCATTAATACATTTTAATTCCCCAAGGTGGTTAAACTCAACGAGTATTAGGTTGCATGACTGTTGCTTACCATATTCAAGACCTCTAAACCTGATTTTTCTTTCTTAGTGTAGTCCTGGCTGGCCTGAAACTCAGAGATCGTCCTGCTTCTGCCTCCCAAGTACTAGGATTAAAGGCGTGAGCCACTACTACCAGCTTTTAAGCCTGTTTAATGAACTAGTATTTTTCATCTATCTATCTATCTATCTATCTATCTATCTATCTATCTATCTATCTATCTATCTATCTATCTATCTATCTATCTAATCTATCTACCTACCTACCTATTCAGTCTTCCTTTACACAAGGTTCATCGTTTCCTCTTCCCTCACCTGTTCAGACTGACACCAGCTTTTATTTGGAATGTGTATGTGAACCCTGGGGCCAGTCTCCTAACTTTCTGCCTCTCCTCCACTGACTCTTGGAAGTGGCCAGGACTTAATTCTGTCTTTGCTATACCCTTAACTGCTTGTCTAATTGGCCTATTCCTTGTTAGCTGATCTGTTCCTAAGAATGAACACCAGTTGTTTACATAATTGCTTTGCTGGTATTGATAGAACAGCTTCAAGTTCACAGGAAAATGAAGAGAACACACACAGATGCTGTACCCCCACGGCATACTGCGCCACTGTAGACATCTGCCATCTGCTTTTGTTCTAACCTTTTCCTACCAGCTACCCTTTGACCAGCACTCTGTCCTCCAGCAAATCCATGCTACTGGTTTTATGTAGCATTTACTTTCTTCCATGGCAAAGCTAACTACCTTCTGGCAGCAGCAGGTATTCTTGTGGGGAGAAGGTCTGTTTCCCACACAGACGGCTCTATGCTGCTATACCTTTGAGCATGCTCAGGGCCCAGCTAGAGACAGGTTATGTCTTATTCTCAGTAGCTGGTTCAGTCGGGTCTTCTGGCAGGATACTTAGGTTGCTGAAGGTGACAGGAACAGTTAAGCTACTTGCTGATTAACTAAAAGTGAACTGCTTTCAACAAAAGCAGCTGGTATAGCAAATACCGACAGAGGGCCCCATGCTGGAGATGCCTATGGCAGGCCATAAAAGATCTGCGCCGGCTCTGGCCTTCCATCTGTCAGGCAGCTGTGCAGGGTCTGAAAGCCACTACCAGATGTGGGCCGGGGGACTTTTGCTTTCGAAGTAGTCCTTTTGTCTCACTAAATGACAAGTACACCACTCTGCAGGCCAAAGTATTTTTATCTATAAGGTACCAACTGCCTCTCTCCTATCTGACAGGCCTACTTTCTGGAGGAGGCTTTTAATATGAGCTTCAAAGGATGCTTGTGTAGATGACGATTAGAAAGAATATAAATACACAATTTTTGTAAATGGATTAGAGAGATGTGTGTATGTAATCAGATGGATGGAAACACAAGCAGACAGGAGATGGAAAAGGTTATATCTGTGGAACAGATCAGGGCAAATACTACGATACATGCAGGCCTGGGCATGGAGTGGATGTGGATGCTACAGTCAGCTAACTGTGGTGAAATCAGGAACATGGACAGAGAAGTGGACCAGAATTACAGCACCTTCAGCTTGTGTTAGTGCGAACCATCCCTAAGGCTCAGTGACGATTCAGATGAGGTACCACAAATCGTGAGACAGTAGTGCAAGGTGCAGAAAAGCGCCTTGCGAAGAGAAATGGGAAGGCCCTTTACGTGATCTGATCACACACACAGAGGTCAAGAGGGAAAAGGTTTCTGAATGCAGAGAACAGAACAAGTCCTCTTTTGTTAGATAAATGACTGGAAAATATGGGTCAGAGTAGCAAAGAATTAAATAAAAAGTCAAATTTAGGATCTTAAAACAACCAACTTCTTTAATTAGAAAGCAACAAACATGCAAATGGCAAGTGTAGAAATTTATTTGAACCAACGTTTTCACAACAATGAAAATGACTTTTCAACACTGATCCAAGCTCCCAATCTGAGGGTTAGGGAAGTATTGCACTTTGCATTTTCTAGCACTCCATACACGGCAAAAGTTTCAAAAACATTTTGCTTGTTTTGTTTTACACACTCTCCCAACTCATGCACACACTCATTCCAAACCAATGTTTGGTTATCCCAAAAAAATGGGGAAGAACTCCAAAAAACCATAGCCTTAAATTGCACTAAAGTTCTGTAAAGAAAAAAAAATATAATAAATGTCGTATACAAATTTCAGAACATCTAAGTGCTTGCACAGAGTCCTTTATTCTTCATCCTCATTTTCATTCTCCTGACCCGAACCTTCGGATCTGTCACCCTCCAAACGGTCTGGAAAACACAGACATGAGAATCACTCAAGCTCAAAATCTTTTTAGTATCTGTTATAAATAACCACCAGAGTCTTTGTTTAAAACCATGAAAAATGTTTACCATTTAAAAAATATGTAAAAATATACTCACTAGTATATACAGATGAAAGGTGTTTTTTTTTGTTTATTTGTTTGTTTTGAGACAGGGTCTTATGTCTCACCATGCAGCCTTGGCTCTCTTGGAATTGGCTATATAGACCATCTTGGCCTCTAACTCAAGAGATCCACCTGCCTGCCGTGCCTCTCTAGGGCTAGAACTAAAGGCACACACCATTAAAACCTGTCTACATAAAAGTTTTTAAGTTGTGTGTCTGTCTGCAAGTATGCATGCACACACTCATGGCTATGTGTGCATGAATGCAGATGCCTATGGAGGCCAGAGGCATTGGATACCACTGGAGCTGTACAGTCAGCTGCGAGCTGCCTGATGTGAGCCCTCTGGTTGAGCAGTATGTGCTCTTAACTGAGCCATCTCTCCAGCCCCAATATAAGTTTTTAATTTGGTCTTAAGAGATAAATGAAGAGTGAGGGTATAAATCATATATACAATATCAGGTAATTCTAAAACATACAAGATCTTGATATATTACATTTTCTTGCAGTGGTTTTCCAACACGGTTCCTTGGAGGCTAAGTTTTAATAATGGAGTCAGGTGCTGTGGAGACCACACAGGTGTGTCCACCCTCTGGCACTGTGATAGGATATCATCCACAAAGTTCATGCTCCAGCAGAGCAATCAAGTTGCAGAAACAAAACAAAATCTCCTTGCAAAAAAAAAAAAACTCATATACTGTTTTCAGTAAGTTTATGACTTTCCATTGGGCTGCATTCACAGCTGTCTTGGGACACGTAGCCTGTGGGAGGTCTGTGTAATTCTGTTTATAAGATTTCTTAAAATTCAGCATCTTCTGTGTTCTAGAAATTATGCTAACCCTAGATTACAATGATGACTAAAATAAATGCAGCTTCTTCCCTCAAGGTAGAGCATTATCTGGGCCCAATATTCAAGTGCACATACGCACGCACACACACACACACACACACACACAGTTATAAACTTGGTGAGCCATTTCAGCATGCTCTCTTGGCCTTATGTCATCTGCACTTGCTATTCCTTTGCTTATGATATTTTGCACAATTCATTAGTAATCACGAGTCTGTGCAGTACAATTATAATCCTTTTTGTGAAACTGTTCCAACTTCTTCATGAAAGTCCTTTGTGAGCCTCTCCGTGATGACCCCAGTTATACTACTTGAGAACTTGTCTTCCCAGACTAGACCTTTTTAAGCTTCGGGGTAGCAAGAGTTCTATTTGTTTACTTTCTATCCTCAGGGCTTATGATAGGATGTTCAATGAAGGTATTTAATATCCTTGTTTTGTTTCTGCCATGCTGGGGATTGAACCTAGAGCTTCACAAACAGCACCATACCAAAGAGCTCTACCATAGAGAAATGAATGTAAATTTTATGAAGATAAGCTGTATCACATCATGGTGTAGGAAGAAGGCAATGGCAGAAGAAGAAGTCATTCTTACCACAGTAAGAGTGGCGTTTAGGACATTCATGACAGACACAATTCTCCAAGTAATGAAGAAAATGTTAAGGTCAGATTAAGTAAATAGCCCACGATAGAAGGACGCCAAACACCAGACGGAAGGGGACAGTATTACAAAAGCTGAGGAGAAACGATGTTTGGTGTGTCTATCATCGAGGACTTGCATGTCAGAGTACTGACACGAATACATGGCTGTCCATGAAATCCTAAGTCACGAGGAGGGTAGTTTCAGATTCGGGCTTTAACATTCATCAGGTGGATGGCCTGGGCAGGTTAGGGTTAATGTCTGAGGGACTGGAGAGGTGGCTGAGGTTAAGAGCACTGTTGTGGCACCACATAGTTAGTGGTTCACAACCACCTGTAACTCCAGTTCTAGACTCTCCAGCACCTCCTTATGAGCTCCCCAGGCAACAGGCATGCATATAGAGATCATGTACATGCAAGCAAAATACTCATACTATAAGGTAAAATAAATCTAAAGTAAAATCTTTTAATTAAAAACAAAAGGGGGTCAGTATCTGCTGGCTTTGGTGATGTATACCTTTAATATCAGTACTCAGGAGGCAAAGGCAGGTGTATTTCTGTGAATTTGGGGCCAGCCTGGTCTATATAACAAACTGCAGGGCAATTAGGCCTACACAGAGAGACTGTCTCAAAAAAAGTTAATATTTGATATACAGAATAGGTATCCTACAAATGATGCATAATACTTAACATGAATGCATTTATGAAATCAGTGAGATGTGATAAACATTCCTGCCTGATAAAAATGTTGTCCTAGTACACACTTGATAATAATTCTACTGTTATGAATACAGATTATGCAATTTACTCTTGAATATCGGCTGTAATATATGTAGCTTTTGGATTTGTGTCATTGAACCACAGTTTATCATCTAAAGTATTGATGGGTTACTGAGATGGCTCAGTAGTTAAGAGCTGATCTGGACTTAGTTCCCAGCACCCACACAGCAGCTCTCGGGTCAAGACCACAGTCTGTAACTGCAGTTACAGAGGATAGAACACCCTCTTCTGGCACTGCACACACGGTACATAAATGTACATGCAGGTAAAACCCATACACACAGAATAAAGATAAATGAATCTTTAAAAAGTTATTGAAAAATACAGTAATATATTTTTATCTTTTACCATGCTATATTTGTTTTTATTTGGGGCATTACTGATTTTGAATAAATCTATATTAAAGTATATTTAGCATAACTTTGTATTTTTGGTTTTTTGTTAGCTGAGGCAGGATCTCATATCTTTCAGGCTAGCCTTGAACTTACTGTGTAGCCTCAGGTGACTTTGGACAACTCTTCCTCCTCCCTCTATTTGTGTTTAGATCACCATCCAGCAGTACAGTGTGTCTGGAGGTTTATGGTACAATTTTTGTAATTGAGAAGATCAGCTAATAAAGAGCTCTCAAGCGACTCTGTTTTCATTTTACCATTTTCTAATAAACTTAGTTTATAAGGAAATAATTCATTGGGATAAGGCAAGGGTTCACAGAAAAAAATCCTGAAGTTGTTGCTTTCATTTTTGGATCTTAAGAAAGTCACGGAAACTTCTGTAAAGTAGGGCTGACTGTTTTCAGTGCAATAATGACGTTAGTGATAGAGTAGAAGCTCTTACCGGCTCGTATATGATTCAGCGACGCCAACATTCTCAACATGAAAGAGGCTGGGACGGTAATGGTGTTTCTAGTCTCTTCCAGCATGAGTTCATTCCGAGTTATAACCTACAGCAGGTGAGACAACTATGTCAGAGTTCACACAGTAACAGCATCCTTGCCTTCAAGATTATGAAACAGTTTTCAAGATCACCAAGTCTTAGGAGGAATATTTCATTCTTTTTATGTATAACATCTACATTTCCACCTTAAAGCTATTCCATGTCAAACAATTACTTTAACTTGAAAATCAGAGATTAGCATGACTTTAAAGATTTTTATTTATTGTAAAAAATTATGGGTTTCATGATAACTTTAGTTAATTCAAGCATTGTCTTGTACTTTGGCCATATTTAGTCCTTTCTGCACTCTCCTGGCCCCTGTCCTAAGCAAAGCAGCAAACTACAAAACCCAAAATACAGAACCAGTAGCTTTCCTATTTCCTGTAACACATGTGCTGAGAAAGAAACAAGAACAGCCCCGTTCCAGCAGCATCAAAATCCATAAACACACCAGATACCCATGAGCAAACCTACTCAGGAAGATGAAGACTTTCACAGTATGTAAAACAACTTAAACTGGAGAGAGAGCCTGTTAGTCAAATGTGCTGGGAAAACTGAAAATCCCCAAGTAGAATGAGATTACAACCTCACCTCTAATTCTGTCCAAAATTCAATTCAAAATGGATCACTAATGTAGGATTTGAAACTTTTAGTGTTAGGGGAGAACACTTCAAGATATAAACACAGAAAGGGACTTAATAAAAAGGACTCTAATAGCTTAAGAAATTATTCCAAGACTGGACACATAGGATTTCATCAAATTAAAAGGCTTCTTCCCATTAACACAGTGAAAAGACAAGCCTACAGAATGGGAGTGAAATCTATGTAAACTGTGCATCTGACAGACAGCAGAAAATTCAATATTAAAAACCAAGTCATCCAACCAGTGGAGAAAATACTTGGACAGGAAGTTCTCAAATGAAATACAAGTGACCAATAAACAGGAAGAAAACGTTTAACACCCCCAGCCAGCAGGGCAATGCTCTACAGCAGGAGGATCTCTGCAAGTTTGAGGTCAGCCTGGTTCACAGAGCCATTCTGAAGCCAGTTGAGGCTGTAAAGTGAGATTCCCCAATCAAAACAATAAAAAAAAAAAATTAGGCCAGGCGGTGGTGGTGCACACTTTTAATCCCAGCATTCTGGAGGCAGAGGCAGGCGGATCTCTGTGAGTTCGAGGCCAGCCTGGTCTACAAGAGCTAGTTCTAGGGCAGGCTCCAGAGCTTCATAGAGAAACCCTGGCTCTAAAAACAAAACAAAACAAAACAAAAAAAACAGAACAACAAAAAAAAAAAACAACAACTCTACACTGAGATATCATCTCACCACAGGAAAACAAATTACAATGCATGCTGGAGAGGAAGTGTGAGGAAAGAGTCAGGGTGTACTGCTGCAGGCAATATAAACTGGTACAGCTCCTATCAAAATCAGTGTGATGCTTCCTCCAAAAGACTACAATAGGACTACTATATGATTTACCATATCAGCCCCGTGTTTATACACAAAGGAGTCTAAGATACTCGTGCACACATGTGTACCACTGCAGCACTCATACATCCAAACCAGAACCAGCCTAGACATCCACGGATAAAGAAAATGTATCTAGGGTTAAGTCATCAGGAAGAAGGGTTAGATTATGTCCTCTGCAGAAAAATGGGTAGAAAAGAGATTACCATGCTCAGTGGAATAGACAAGACTGAGAAAGCTGAATACAGTATGTTTCTCTCTGCTATGAAGAGTAAAGTAACAAGGAATGAAAACAGAAGTGAAGTGGGAGCAGGGAGGAAGGGGAACAGGACAGCACAGGTAAAATACCTTGTGTGTTTTCATAAGCAGAACTTCACACACACACCCCTCTCTCACTGAGACCCACCATTTTGTATGCTAGTTAAAAACTGTTAATGAAAATGAGTAAAACCAAGGAACTAAGGGAATCTTAAAACGTAATGAATTATCTGATCACTTGTTGCTCTACCTTTTGACACTGGAGGGGGTGAGGGTGGGGTTGAGAGGGGCAGTCATAATTCCCTCTGTGAAAAACCCAAAATTAGAAAAAAGTAAAATGTCTACAATTACGAATTATGGAGGGTCGCATATAGTAAGGTTATCCCTTCTCCACCCCCCAGTTTATTAGGACAGAGTCTTGACGTGTGATTGTTTGACAGAAAGAACTCTTCAGCTTCCTGGGTGAATTACAGACTACATAATTAAATTGTTTGCAAACAAAACACTCTTAAAAGACAAACTTTTTTTCTTCTTCTTTTCTTGAGACAGGGTTTCTCTGTGTATCAGCCCTAGCTGTCCTGGAACTCACTCTATAGACCAGGCTGGCCTTGAACCCACAGAGACCCACCTGCCTCTCCCTCAGGAGATCAAAGGTGTGCGCCACTGCCCAGCAGTATACACCCTTTTAATGCTTTCTGTTATACATAATAGATATATATTTCTTTAAAATATATTCCTAATCTGTTATTAAAGTCAATATTATAATTAGTAAGATAACAATCTAGTTTTTACATTTACTATATAGATATGTTTTTATTTCATATTTCTTTCTTTCTTTTTTTTTTTTTTTTTTTTTTTTTTTGGTTTTTCGAGACAGGGTTTCTCTGTAACTTTGGATCCTGTCCTGGAATTAGCTCTTAAAGACCAGGCTGGCCTCGAACTCACAGAGATCCGCCTACCTCTGCCTCCCAAGTGCTGGGATTAAAGGCATGTGCCACCGCCGCCTGGCTCATTTTTCTTTTTCAAAAGATTTGACCTCCTTTCTCTTTAAAGATTTGGCCTCTTCTCGCTCCCCTTCTTTTCCTAATACATGGTCTCATTTTATAGTTGTGGCTGGCCTAGAACTTGCTATAAAGACCACCAGACTGACCTTGAACTTTGACATCCATCTGCCTACGCATCACGAATGCTGAGATTAAAATTTTAACTTCCAAAAAAAAAATTTTAACTTCCTTAACTGATTGACTTTGTTTTATGTTAGCAACTAATAACAAACTAGTTTTCTCTTAAGATAGCATTATAGAAAAAAAAATTAAAATAGAAATATAGTAAAAGTCTTACTTCATCAGCAAGTTTTCGATTAAAAATCCTTGACTCTTCTAGTGGCGACCAGATCTTTATATCATAGTCTATACCAGATGAGGCTAGAACTAGAAAGAAAATTTATACCTTTATCATAAATTCAAGATATAAATATTAAGCATAGCTGCAAATTTAACAAAATTTGGCTTGAATGAAAACTAGTATACATATTTTTGAAGTATTTTGTTTGTTTCTTTGTCTTTTGAGACAGGGTCTCTCTATATAGCCCTGGCTGTCCTGGCACTCACTATGTAGACCATGCTTGCCTGAAAATCACAGAGATCTACCTGACTCTGCCTCCTGAATGCTGGAAATAAAGGTGTGTGCCACCACACCTGGCCAAAGATTTGTTTTAAAGTGTGTGTGTGGGTGTGTGTGCACGCACACGCACATGGGTACACAAGAGTGTAGGTGCATGCAAAGGCCAGAAGAGGCATCAGCTTCCCTGTGAGCTACTTGATGTGGGTACTGGGAAGCAAACTTGGGTGCTCTTCAAGGGTAGTTGTTTTTAACTGCTGAGCCATCTCTCCAGTCTTTTACCACATAATTAACTGTTAATTGTCATTTGGAACATTTCCTAAAAGTAACTATAGAAGGAAATTTTAAGACCTTGAAGTCACTCAAATTTGTCATATTCATTGTTTTCTTATGAAATATATGGCCACTTAAAAAAAGGCAAGAGCAAGCCAATTCTATTTTATGTTAATAAATTAATTCAGACATGTGAAGTCTTAAAAAGATATGGAGGCTGTTTTGAATAAATGATGAGAAATTCAGTCATGCCAGACTCTATAAACCTTAAATATTAGAAGAATAAGCCTTTTAACCTGTTTCTTTAGAATATCTGTCAAAAGCACATTCTTTTCTTTCTTTTTGAGGGTGGAACCTTTAAAAATATTTGTCCTTTGAGAATTTCACACATGCACATAAAATGTTCTGATCAACCCCCCTTCCCTTCTCTCACTCTTCCTAGACTGTCACCCATGTACCCTTCCTAACTCTATGTACTCGTTTTTAAAACCACAAATCCAGTCAGTGCTGCCAGAATGCGCATGAGTTTGGGCTATCCTCCAGCATGGCAACTTACCAGGAGCCACATCCCTGAGGGAAAATGGCCCTTCCTCTACCTGCAGCATTAATTGCCTGTATCTCCTCAGCTAGGAATAGGGCTCTCTGAGCTGCTCTCCCATACATGTAGAGCTATAACTCTCTCTAGTAATGCTTAGTAGGGCAATTCAGACTTTTGTAATATTGACTCCACTGATGAACGGCACCAGCAGTCTCTACACTTGCTCTATGAAAGCTGTCTTACTTGGGTCAAATGGGTGAGGCTGCAGACAGTTGACCACATGATTATCCGCTTCCAGAAGCATCAAGTGCTCAGCAGTGTGCCGATCCCAGATGAAGATATGGCCACAGTCGGAACCACTCATTACGAAGTTAGCACCCCAGAAATTGGCTTCTTTTATCTGAGGGATTTTAAGAAGCACGAGGACATCTAAGTCAAAGTTATCAAAGAAAGACAGATTCCATTCCTATGTTGCAAATGAATTGATTTTAAAATTAAAAAGTAAAATACTGAAGTTTTTTTCTCCCTAAGAATCTTAAAATCATGATAGCACTTCACTGGTGAATAACATAGTGGCCACACATGTGAGGCCTCCCCTAAGAGCAGGTTTTGCTATGAGACAGTATTTGACACACAACAGGTACCTCATACATGCTAAACAAGTAAACGAGATTTCTGGGCTTATGTATGTATTATGTAAAAATATATACATATAGATGAGCTTTCTAAAAACCATCTCATTTTAGCTCTATAAAACAATGAAAACATTTCACAGGAAACAGGAATTTTTTCCATTAACTGTTAGCCCACATAATTGAGAAGATAAACATATCCTTAGTCAAGCAAGCAGACAAAGGAATATGGTATACTAAATGGCTACCCTATTTTAATAAACATACAAGAAAGGACTGTAAAAGATCTTTACACTTCAGACATCGTCTTTATCATTTCCCCTGCAGCTGCCGCAGGACAGCAGGGAAGGAGAGGCTGCTGCTGTGCACTTGCCCACCCAGGGTTTTCATTTCTTTCTGTACTAAGCCATGAGCTCGGGGTCATGTGCACACTAGGCAAGCACTCGACCATTGAGGTATGGACTCAGTCACCTTTTAATTACTTTCATCTAAAATTCGAATTGGCAAAATGCAGAAATCTAAATTGGTTATTTCTATTAATAATGAGTATCTGATTAAGAATGATGAAATTGTTACTATTGATGACATATACAGAGAAAGCTAATTATTTTCTCAATTCAGTTCATTTTTACCTAGAATCTCAAGAAGGTAAAAACATGATCTGCAAGTACTTTGCAATAACACTACAGGCATACCGAACACTTTCTAGCTATGAATGGTTTAGAGTAATAGCTATATTGTTTCCTTGCACTGGGCATGCAAATTTGTGGGTTTTAAACCCTACAACTGACTGCAGATCTCCTGGTCTATCCTGTCAATTTCAAAGATGAAGAATTAAAGCAAGGAGTGATCAAAGCCAATTTTTAGCTGTTACTTTAAAAGGTGTTGTAATTAATGTATCTGTATTTTATACTCAACCTGGATTCTGTATATAGATTTATTTTCTCATTCCAAAATAACAAAATGTGGTAAAATTAACTTTAAAAAATTTAATAGTAAATTTCTGAGGATAGCAAGCATAATAAATAAATAAATTGTTATAAAAAGCAATATCTACATGTTCTAAGCTAAAATAATTTTTTCTAATGCACATATATTTCTTTAGTAAGGTAGAGTTTTTTTGCAATATATTACAAGACTAAAAGAACCACATTTGAATAAAGGAGTAACAAAATCACCACGGGGGGGGGGGGCCATGAGGCTAGATGGTGGTGGCATCCTGGAGGCAGAGGCAGGTGGATCTCTGTGAGTTTGAGGCCAGCCTAATCTATAGTGTGTGTTCCAGGACAGCCAAGGCTATACAGAGAAACCCTGTCTCAAAACAAAACAACAACAACAACAACAAAAAACCCAGGCAACTGCATCACATCAAGAATGCCATGAGCATTAGGTACCATTGTCCGGGAGTTGCGATGGCCCTTATAAACCATCTTTACTAGTGGCCTCCTGATGTTCAAAGTATCCAGTTCTTCCATCTCTTTTCTTTCTTTTCTCCTCCTGAAGAACTCCTGGATGCGGGCAACAGCGGAGCGTCTGTGTATTACAAATTCAAACAAAACAAAAATAAACATTCACAGACAACTTCTGAATAATGATGAAAAATGTCAAAATCCAATAAGTCTATATTTCAAACACATTATTTTTATAAAGCACCCCCAATCAAAAGCATAAAAAGGCAGAGTTCATCACAGCAGTTGAGTTACTACAAGATATTTTAGTTCAGTGGTCACTTAGGAAACTGGTACTGGTTGACAAAGAAAACAGCATGCGACACAGTAGTTTCGAAAGTACTGTTTTATAAAATCAAACAGGCAAAATTCGTGTGCAATTTTATTTCAAACAAAACATCCTGTTCACCTTGTTTGGTGGCCTAGGCCTGGAGTCACACCCTTGGGGGGTAAAAGGGGATCAGGAACCAAGATCAGCTCTAACTCCAATGTGGATTTTGAAGCCTGGGCTACTTGAGACGCTGTCTCAAAAGAAACAAAAACCCAATGCCCTGTTCCATTTTTAAGTATTTCTCTTCACAAAGGCCCATAAAGAGAACGCCAAGGAAAATAAGAACATGGGAGCAGTGGTAAACTAATACTCTGACATAGTTTAAAGATATTCCAAGAGCAGACCAGTCAAGAGGAGAATAAATATCAGTAAGAGATAAAACGAAAACCTTCAAGTAGCGACTCTTTTATATGGCTCCACACTAAAGTAGAAACTTGCAGGTAAAGAGACAGATTCCATCCTCTCTCCAAAGGGGCTGATGGTAGCAGCAGCTACGTGAGAACAAAGGACTCTTTAAGATTGATTTTATTAGTACGGGAATTCTCCTGTCTCCACTTCCCACCTCAAGGAGCACCGGGATTACTGACATATCTACTACGCCTGGCTTTGCATGGGTTCTGCCAGCTCAAACTCAGATCCTCAGGCCTGTGTGGCCGTCTCCACAGCACATCCGGCTTCCTTAGCCTGATACTGTAATAACCACTTAGGCTGATGTACTCACTGAAGTTCACTTATCTTTCCTGGAAAGTATGTCTTTGAATAAGTATAACTTATTTATTGTGTTGTTAGGTTTCTGATGACTGAAATTGGGCCACCATCACCATATGACACATCTTTTGGTGAACACATGCTCATGTTGGCTGTGTCCTAGGAGTGCACCGCACTGTAGAATGTGCACCAGGCTCGCCTACAGTAAATAGTCCCAGTTTGGGAACATGGTTGCACAGATTCATACTCCTACCGGCAGCATACTGTAGTTCCAGAACATAGCATTTTTGAAAAAAGTTAAACAATATAAAGTCATGGGGAAGCTGGGTCCTGGTGCACACCTTTAATTCCAGCACTTGGGAGGCAGAGGCAGAAGTAGTTCTGTGAGTTCGAGGCCAGTTTGGTCTACATAGAGTTCCAGGACAGCCAGGGCTACACAGAGAAACCCTGTCTCAAATTACCAAAAAGTCTTGTAGAAAAACTGAAAATACAAATATATATTTCCTTACTAAAAACTATAACTGATACGGGCTAGGCATTAATTTAAATGGTCATACAGAAACAAATTTATATATTCATAGAAAACGGTTGGAAACAGCAAACTGTTAGAATTTTAATAATGATGTTACAATTACACATTACCGTTTAAAAATATTTTGTTTTCTATAAAAATTGCTATACTCTACACTATTCAGGAAAATGAAAAGCATTAACAAAATTGCTCTACAGCTGTGAGAGTTTAGTGGCTGAGTATTTGATGAGCTTGCTTACTAAAGCACTAAGGTAGCATATGTAAAATTAATTGATTCAGAACTTCCAAATCACTAATGAATAATAGCAGTTATTATTCTATTTGGGAGAAACATCTAATATATTGAGAAAAACAAAAACAAACACAAGGTAACTCAGCTAAGTTACAATGTATCTGATCAAGCCAAGCCCCATTCATGACAGAAACTGTACCACAGTAAGACAGAAAGGAACATTGGGACCCTTGTATAAGCTACTCACAGGAACCCTAACTACCCACCTAAACACACCAGTGGGGAATTCTTCCCACAGTTAGGGGTAAGGTGTGATACCTGATACCATTATTAGCTGGCACAGTAAGGAAAAAAATGGAAGAGAAAGAAAATTTGCATTTGTAGACCATATAATTTCTACATAAAAATAAAAATAACTTATAGGCTAATTAATAGAAATACTAGAAAAGTAATGTGGCTGGAAATACAATTAGGATACAAATCAACTGCTTTCTAAAAATCAGCAATACAGGATCAGTATAAAAATGTAAAAGAACACATTTGTTACAAAATATAAATTCTTATAAAAGATTTGTAAAATTTCTTTGTAAAAATTTATAAAATGTTACTGTGTGACTTTGTGTGTGTACAGCTCTGCCTATCCTCTCTGGTGTCTCCTTCAACCACGTACACCTTATATTATTCCAGACAGGGTCTCCCACTGAAATTGGAGCTCCTGTTTCAGATAGACCTGCTGTCTGGGCAACCCTAGGGTTCACTTCTTTCCACCCACCCAGGTGTTATGGTTACAGTCACATGCACTATGCCTAACTTTTGTGTGCATGCTGGGAATCTAAACTCAGGCCCCCATGCTTGCAAAGCAAGCACTTCACCCTCTGAGCCATCTCCCCAGCCACTGAAAGACGTTTTCAAAAATTTAAATAAATACAAAGATAACTGTATTATACTCACCTTTCACTGAAATTGATATATTCGCTACAACTATAACCATCATCTGAGGATTTATCTGTGGAACTTAGAAGCTGATTTTAAGACAAAATGAAGGTTCAGGACAATGGTAGTGCATGCCTGTAGTCTCAGCTATTCTGAAGGCAGAGGCAAGAAGATACCTGCTTGAGCTATGCTCACAGGGTGCCCACCACCAAAATGATCAACCCTCCTAAATGGTTCTCCTTGTTACCTAGTTTCTCTTAAGGGTCTTAAGAAGTAGCTAAATAATTTAAGAATATCACAGTCCAAGTTGATACAGAACCCATAAATACATCCCTAACTGAAAAGCTGCAGCGGCACACATTTTTTAGTAGAATGTTGAAGTGAGCCCCATATTCTATCGGTCGTCTACCCATGCCTGGCTTACTGTAAAAAGTAGCCAAACTAAGAAGTGGCTTGTTTTTCTGACCTTATCAGTTTCTAAAACAAAGTAGTACATAAATTATTTAGTAACAATCCGAATGAAAAAAATAGGTGGTTTCCTATACGGAATACAGAAATAATAAGGTAAGCCAAATAAGGTAAAATAAATCTATAGTAATTCCTCATTAAGACTATCCCCAGTAAATTTGAGTTCAGTTTTGCTTTTTAAAACAAGTTTTATTTCTATTATTATATGTATAGTTGAGGGCGCATATGGTCTGCACTGTGAGTGTGGCAGCTGAGAACAACTTTGTGGAGTCCCCTTTTCTTGCCTCCACCTTTATGAGGGGCCGATCCAGTGCAGGTCACCAGCTAAGCCACGTCCCAGGTCCTCATTTTTGTTTTTATGCTGGTGTTTGGAGGCAGTTTTGACATTAAAGCATATCTGAAGTCAGTAATTTTGCAAATGATTCTATTATTGGTTGTCACCCCATTGTGTAAATGGACTACATTTTCTTTTCTCATTCTTCATAGACGGGCATCTAGGTTCTATCCAGGATCTGGCTATTACAAATAAAGCTGCTATGAACATAGCTGAGCAAATGTCCTTATGGTATGATTGAGCATCCTTTGGGTATATGCCCAAGAGTGCTATCATTCAACTATGTGCATAGCAGCATTATTTGTAATAGCCAGAACCTGGGAGAAACCTAGATGCCCCTCAACTGAAGAATGGATAAAGAAAATGTGGTACATTTACACAATGGCATATTACTCAGAGGTTAAAAAAATGACATCTTGAAATTTGCAGGCAAATGAGTGGAACTAGAAAAACCCATCCTAAGTGAGGTAACCCAGACTCAGAAAGAGAAATGCAGTATGTACTCACTCATAAGTGGACAGCAGGCATAAAGCAAAGGACAACCAGCCTACAATCCACCACCCCAGAGAAGCCAGGTAACAAGGAGAACCTTAAGGGAGATATACATGGATCACCCTGGGAAGGGGAAATAGACAAGATCTCCTGAGAAAATTGAGAGGTGTGGGGGAGGGAGGGCAGAAGGGGAGGGGAAAGAGAAAGGAAGCAGGAGGAGAACATGAATGTGGGTGACAGTTATATGGCTGGGGCAGTCTGTGGCGCCACTGGCAGTGGGACCAGGATTTATCCCTAGTACTTGAACTGGCTTTTTGGAACTCTTTCTTTTTGGAAGGATACCATGCTCAGTCTATATATATATATATATACTGTATATATTATGTATACAATATTCTGTCTGTGTGTATGCCTGCAGGCCAGAAGAGGGCACCAGATCTCATTACAGATGGTTGTGAGCCACCATGTGGTTGCTGGGAATTGAACTCAGGATCTTTGGAAGAGCAGACAATACTCTTAACCTCTGAGCCATCTCTCCAGCCCCCTCAGCCTACATATATTGGGGAGGGCCTTGGTCCTACTTCAAAGTGATGTGCCAGACTTTGTTGACTCCCCATGAAAAGCCTTACCCTCTCTAAGGAGTGGATAGGGTGGGGAAAGGGAGGGAGAGGGAACTGGGATTGGTATGAAAAATGAGAAAAGATTGTTTTGTTTTTTTTTTTTTTTTTTTTTTAAAGCTACTAAATGCTGGAGACTACCAGGTTGTGGGACTGTGTCCACTCCACTCTGGCTAATCCATCTCTTAAAAGAAAGTACATCTAATGAAGGAGACTAGAGAGAGGGAGTGGGGACTATTTAGCAGACTAAGAGATAGGATGAGATCACAGGAGAAAAAGAGAGGAGAGGAGAACAAGTACCATTTTATTTATTATTCAAAGAAATAATATGGTATGTAGCATTTGCAATACAATAAGGCATAGTCATAAAATATAACACAGTCCCTTGTGAGAACTGTCATATCCGTGAGTTTAATTTTCTTATTTACTTCAGCAGAA